GAACAACAAGAACATAAAATCGTTTGCTGGGTAGAAGAAAGACAGGGAACAACGCGTACATGCGTAGGAATGCAACAGTACTCCTTGACTCGCAACGATACGGAAAACATGGAGATTTGCAACCGGTCCTCACACAGTGATGGGATCCTACCGGTTTGGTCTGGTTCTATAGAACGGCTAGCTCTGAAGAGCAGCTGACACCGAACCGATTCACTGGGATGAGGTTTTGGTCTGATATTTGGCCCACCCACCCACCCGGGATCTAGGCTGTCCTTTAGTGGCTGTGTTTTCCTCCTCAGCTGCTTTGCACGGCAGCTGGAGAAGATAAATGCTTGCGGGAGTTGGTGCTCCCTGAACCAGTTGTTATGCCGGTCAGATCCCACTCCTGTCCTCACAGTAATGACCGTCAAAGCATAGTCACGTGATCATGGTAACCAGCACTTTGCAGCATCCCAGGGTTATGGGATTACCCTTTGAGACCTTCCCAGCTGGCTTCTACAAGCGGAAGCAGATTCGCTTAGTGACTGTGTGATGGAACAGAAGTTGCCTTCAGAAGTTTGTGGGAGTGTCATCCCTGGAAGCTTTCAAGAAGAGACCAGGCTGCCATTGGTCAGAAATGGTGTAGGGCAGTGGTGGCTAACTTTTTTGGGCTCCTGTGCCAAAAATTGTGTGCGCACTTGCATGCTCAGGCTCGTTTGCCAGCACCCAAAAGGCAATGCATCCCCCCCATGCTCCCCATGCATGTGTGTACAATACCCACCCACCCACCCTGCTGCCCCCTTACCTGCACTGTGCCTCACAGCTGATTTTTGGCCTGTTTGAGGAAGGCTTCTGCAGGCTTTGCAGGCTGAAAACTAGGCCCGTTTCATCACTTCCGGTGTTTCCGGAAAAACAGGAAGTGATGAACGGGGCTAGTTTTCAGCCTGCAAAGTCTGCAAAAGCCTGCAGAAGTCTTCCTCAAGCCTCTGGGAGGCCGAAAAAGGGCTTAAACTGGCCAAAAATCAGTTGTGGGGCGCACACATGCGCAGTGAGGTAAGTTTGCCTGCAGCTCGCGTGCTGGCACAAATGGCTCTGTGTGCCACCTGTGGCACGCATGCCATAGGTTCGCCATCACGGGTGTAGAGTCTCTTGCTTGGGCGGGGAGTTGGACTAGATGACCTACAAAGTCCCTCTCAACTCTGTTAATCTGTTGATTCATTCAACAACGGGAGTGTATTTTCTGTCTGTTCAGTTACCAGCTACCACCATTCTCTCCTACCCCAACCTAGAAAAACTAGCAAATGACATTACGAGTTTGTTGTCCTCCAGCATGCACTTTTTAATTAGATGGTGTGGTTTATGTTGTTGTTGTTTTCTGATTGTTTCATATTGTTCATGATTCAGCTGGTTGATAAGCCGTTTTGAAGATCTCAGAGCAAGAACACGGAAAGAGATGATTATTATTATTTTTTTTAATGCTCTGCCAGAGGTCTGGCACCCACAGTGACTTTTAATATAAAGACTTTGTCATGAGATGATAGCACCCTTCCCATTTCACACGGCAAGCATTGCCTGCGTCCGATGACAGCTAGTACTTACCCCATCAGGGAGCGTGTTTGTTCTCATGTCTTTCCTTGACACGGCAAATACCAACTGCCACCAAGGGGGCTGGAGAGAGGATTCATTCATAGGAAAGGCTCACCATGCAATTTCCACAAGACGAAAGCATCTCAGATCAATTTTACTACATCAAAATAAATAAAAATAAAATGGGGAAATCAAGCCTGAACCCAGTTTCTTCTGTCAGGGACTGCAAACTCCGCCCCAAACTCTGGTTCACCTCACAGCTACAGCGGTTCGTTTGATGGTGGTGGCAAACCACCGAAAAGTGGGCGCGGTTCCCTGAACACACCTTTCCTTGCTTAGCGGCAGAAATCTTGGTCTCCACTGGGGTCGTAAGTCAAAGACTGCCTGGATCAAGGCAGATGCTGCTCTCCTCCCTCCTTTCTAAGGCACCTTGGTTAGAAAGTCCTTTGGCGGGCTTGCAGCTGGAGACAGAACCGTTGCTCCAATGCCCCAACATTGGAAGTTTTAAAGAAGAGGTAGGACAACCATTTGTCTGTATAGGGCTTCCTGCCTGAGTGGCGGGGTTGGACTAGAAGATCACCAAGGTCCCTTCCAACTCATTCTGTTGTGTTCTGTTTTGTTCTGTTGTGTTCTGTTCTGTTGGGTTGTGGTCTGCTTGGGGTCCGGTCTGATCCATTCTATCCCACTACTATCCTTTCTTCTTCTCTTCTCTTCTCTTCTCTTCTCTTCTCTTCTCTTCTCTTCTC